CAAAGCAAAACAAAGCCAATGTTGCATTAGATCTAATTAGTGGCAGTGGAGTTGCCGGCAGTGTCCACGTGCAGCACCATCAGACGCTGATTGTCGCCGAGGATGACGCAGCAGTCGTTGTCGTTGCCTAATCAGAATGATAACACAAATAGTCAACTTTTTTTTAAAACAAACTTAAAACTCACCGCAATAGTGGCTCGAGGAGAAGATGGTCGCACAGACCGCCCCAAAGTGGAAGGTGTACCCAAAGGGAATGACCTCATGAGCGCGGACAATGTGCGTCAGCGAGTTGGCGCTGAGGAAAGAGCTGGCCGCCTGCTGGTTAAAGCGAAAAGCCGTTCCTCGCTTCAGATTGAAGACGAAGCCATTGGTCGTCTCCGGATCGACACTTCGAGCGGCGCAGGTGTCATTGAAGTCATCGCGATTGGCCGGGTCTGACCAGAGGATCTCCCAGGCGATGGCCGCTTCGGCTTGAGGGTCTCGGATTTCTCGAGGAAGACGATTGATCTGGTCGACGGTGACGGCTGATTTGGGAATGCCGCCGTGGGCGCAGTAGATGGCGTCATCGAGCAGGGCGCAGACGGGCATCTTGTCAAAGAGGCGGTTTGTGAGCTCCCAGAAGCGGGTGCCGTGCTTTTCGCCGTACTTTCGCAGTAGTTCGGCCTAGGGAAAATCAGGCGTTTTGATTTTAGGTTTTGATTATATCTCTAAAACTTTCACCACTTTACCTTGTAGGAGTAGTTCAGCTGCAGCAGGCGGACTTCGTGGTTGCCACGAAGGAGGGTCACCTTGTTTGGACACAGTACCTTGAAGGCCATCAAGTAGACGGCCGTCTCCAGGGACCACTTTCCGCGCTAGAAAAAGTAGAATATAAAATTTCAATTTTTTCTTTTTTACATCTTACGTCAACGTAGTCGCCCAGAAAGAGGTAATTGGCGCTGAGGAGAGGCACTGAGGGCCAGATTGTGGACTCCAGGGTGAGCAGGTCTTCGAGGTTGCCGTGAATGTCTCTGGAACAACATAAAAAAA